CCTTACTAGATACTGGAATTTCAATATCCAACCCTTCTGGTGCTTCTTCAAACTTCTCCAATTCGGAGAGAGTAGGTTTGACCCCTGAGAAAAATGTCAATTATCGATTATGATGAGTGATCGTAGAAAATTATAAGAATTGAATAAATGGATAGAATTGAGAATAGTGCATTTAATGAGGCACGCACCATTCACTCTTTTATCTGTTTTTCAATGATCAATTAAAAAAAGAGGGTTGATTTATAAATACATTTTAAAACAAGGAAATGGGTTAAAAAGTAATACCGCCTGAAGGGAGACGCTTCTTCTCTCTTTTTCTTTTTCTTCATAATCTAAGATCATAACCCCTTTCTGATCTTTTGCTCTGGTATGACAATTGTTTTATCCATATGTATACCCGATGATGAAACCTCCGGCATAAATACACATGACACGGTCATACAATGAGTGTTTAGCATGCTACCAATGAGTACGGACTCAATTGACGGTGTAAGTGGGCAATCACATAACTCTGTTTGCAACATTGCAGACTTCGTGCCATACTTTATTTTTTTAAAAAAAACAACTCAACGGCAATACTTTAAAACTGCCATGATTTTTCTTCTCTGTGGAAAGAAAATTCTGCATAAACTTCACGGAATGATGTCAATTTGTTCTCCTTTAAAAAATAACATAGAGGTGGAGATTTACAAACATTGCAAACAAGATATGTGGTTGCGGACTTACGCTGTTGATATATGATGAGGTAGTTTTTCCCCTCTACCCTGCTCCTGTCTTGCAAAAAAGGAACACAAGAAACAAAACCATCTTAACACTTCACACCAAAGTTAGCAATGAGCTTGTCATAGAACACCCAGTGCATTAGGACCTTCACCAAGGATTCTGATGTTACTTTTAGCGATCATATTCTGAAGAAAGTAATAAAACAAGCATTATGGAGGTCAAATAATTTAACTTGAGTACATTCCTTTAATGATTTTCAGGTACTCGTTTTCTTAATGAAAACTATTTTAGACCTACTTTGAGTGATTACCTTAAAATAATACAGAGAAACCAATCTGGAGACAAAATGCATGCTGTGATCAGCAGCCTTTGCCCTCTGCAAAAGACTGGTCAGACAACAACTTACCATCAGCAATAATAGCACTCATTGCAAAACTCTTGTACAAAAATCCTTTTCTGCTGTAACGATTCCCCTCGAAAATCAAAAAGTCACCATCACTTGCTACTTCACCTCCAATAGAACGAATTGCTTCAGGGTCAAAAGGTTTGGCCGGAGGAATCCGTTTCTTTTTCCTTTTCAAATTTTCTTTGTCATCCTTTAAAAAAGTCATACACATTGTGATTGAATTATTATAACCAGAAAGTAACATTAATAGTTATCAAACACTAGTTGGATTATGAGAAACTAAAAGTTTCTCTTACTCTAGCGTCTTTCTCTTCTCATTCCACTTACCCGCACCTTCCTGTAGGAGATTAATTCAGGCTAATGGATAATATAGTTCTCTTTTTGTTGTTTACTGCTACTTATTTAACTTTAATACACAGCTCACAAGTTCCTGCAACTTAGTGGTCATTTTGATTTGCGGCGGTCCTTCTGGAGACATACTTTTTTGCTTGGTGGGCATTCTGTTATCATTAATTATCAGTAAATGCATGTTTGTCAAAGGGCTTACCCATGAGGTTATGCAAATTAAAAAACGTTAGAAACTTGGTTAAAATTCTAGGTGGGACTGACACCATTGACAAATTGGTTCAAACTATCCTAAGTTCTATGTTCAATACTTCCGAATCAGAGCTCATCCTAGATAAAATGGACGACTATAAAGCGTGACAGAAAACTCCATGCTCATTTTGAACTGGTATCCAAAATTCAAAAGAATGGGTCTTCTGCTGTACTCTGAAAGTGCGTCAGTCAGTCAGCCAGCTAATTTGGAAAGAGGTATAGAGATGTTTCATGTATCATTGAATACGTCAGCAATGATTGCTATGAGGATGACGGAGAGACAATGTAGAGATAATAAAGACGAATCGGTTGTTAATATTTTGAAGGTCCCTTACATTAGGCACTCGCAATGCTCCTCGAAGCTTGGTGTAGTCGATCCTTGGCAACAATTTGAGATGAACTTGATTTTGAGACAGATCCACGTAATCAACTTGAGCAATGTCATCTTTGTAAATACCTGTTGCAAAAAGAAAGTATGAACTCTCAGATACTATTCATCATTGCCTTTACTTTTGTGTTTGAAGCAAAAACAAAAGGAGATTCATCAAACGTTCCAACACAGAGCACATAAATAAAACAGTTGTGAAGATGTACGCGAGTGTAAGAGTAAGAAAAGTGTTCCTTGTCATGTACATCCGCAGAGAATCATCTCACATTACAATACTACGGCTTGTAAGGCACTTGTTAAGGATAACATATTCGTTGATGCTCTTTCAGCACCTCATAACTTAAATAATAAAATTAATTTTAAAACAACTGAAATGAGGGCATTGCCAACTTTGAGTCAAAGAATACGAAATTAACTTAAACTAACAAAGACGTAGTGTAAACAAAAATGTGAATCAAGGCAAAAATACTAACACTCTGACAAAGACTTACCTCTCTTCAAGCGCACCCACTGCTTAGGCCTGAGACCTGTTTGAACCTTGCAAACTCGCATCACATCCGTCATTTCTTTGATTGGCACCATCTGAAACCATACAAATTGAAATCATGAAACGTATGTTGTACTAAAAGAATGCATGAAGAAGAAATAGATAAATTGCCTTACCTAGAATGATTTTATTAAAACATAAAATCCAGTTATGACATGTAGCACAAAAAAAAATGGAAAGTTTCAAGATCGTCTTCTAAGTTCAAAACTCTACAACATTTATTTTATCTTAGAAAACTTAGAAATTAATGAGATAAAACAAACCTGTTGCTTCCAGTATCCCATTCTCAGATTACCGACGTTCTCAATGGCGGCTTTAACGTGAGGTTGCTTGTACGCCTCGATGTAGATGTAACCCTTCACGCCTTCTGGTGCTACAACTGACTTGATTTGCAGGGGTTCATTGGTGTTTTGATACGTCAAAAATTTCCTCATCAGAAGGAGAGCGGTGTTCTTCTCCTCTCCAATTCGACATTTGACCATCCATAGATTTGGGTCTCTGTGGACAAGACAGATTTATTATAGAATGAGAACTCTTGGCAAGTTCCCTGACAAACAGGTCAAGGACTATGTCTCTTCTGTTAGTTTTCCTGAGACAAAATGGTCAGAACAACTAGTTCTGCATCAAGCCATTCTTATTGCTTGGGACCAGTAAGAGTACTACTTAAGATTCTATCACGGAACAAATCATAAATTACCTATAGAGGATGCAGCCAAGAGATAGGTAAGCGCCAAAGCAATCTCTGGTGACTGTAATTCATAGCAGTCACATTTTGTTGTTAAGCAGTATGATTCCCTAATCTTATGGAAACATACACAAAAACACACTGGCAGAGAACTAGTGAATTTGCACGACATGATATTGATTACTATTCCACAAGAAGCACTATTCCAAAGAAACAAGTAAAAAATGAGAAAAATTGACGGGATTCAGGTGGAAGTGCTGATAATACCAAGTTTGGGTGTGCTTGTTTCTCCAAGCAGTAAATATCTAGACATTTGGTAGCACCGCTGAGACCATTGCTACCTGCTTGTCCAGATATGACAGTTTGATGAAACAAACTCGTCCTTGTTTTATGAGCCCTGATTCTGGAACACTTCTCAACTGCATTAAAGTGGATCAGATGCACACATTTGAAATATTTCCTAGCATTTAAATTAAAAAAAAATTTACAAATATTTAGTGAAAAAATTGTATTACGAAGATAGGAGCGATCTGAGGGGCTAGCATGTACTCAATGGCCTCCGTTTTGTGCTCTTTTGAAGGTGCCTGCGGCTTGGGTCTAGTATCAACAGAGGTCGCAATGATGTATTTATTTTTAAAAAATAAACTGAAAAACATAATGAATAATGTAACACAAACAGCAATAACAATTGGGACAAATATTTACAAAAATCAATAATGCATTGATTGATTTGGACCTTTTAAAACCATGAACTACATGAGAAACAGAATACTTACTTGACACCAGGCAAGAGGGTTTGCTGTGTGATTTCATCTGACATGTCCTCACCTCCATCACCGAAATGTCGTGCAGCCAGGGATTCATCCGCATATTTTTGACGTAGATATTTTTCTATTTCATCTTCTTTTTGGGAACTGGAAAAGAAAATAATTGAATCTTACTGTGATTCTTAAAGGAAGAAAAGAAAACAAAGAAAAAAATTTTGCAAACATTCTGTGGAATTAGAGCACTCAATCAATCACAAGCATTCCGTAAGTTGCTTTAAAATTCCACCATTTTTTCTTTTTCTTTTCTATTTGTTCATTGTTGTGTGCATTTAATTTTCAACGACTGAAACAAAGCCTCGTTTTTTTAAGCCATGTTAGCATTAATTAAGTCTCATATTACAAAAAGCCATTCAAACACTTTGTCAGGCCCTTGAAAAATCATTTATGCTTGAGGGGCTGAAAAAGTTCTGCAAGCTTGAAATTGAAGGTTGCAGAAGAAAGAATTTGGTGACTGATTAATTCTCAGCTCATAGAGCCCATCTGTTTCATCGAGTCAAAATTTTATCATCTACAGCAAAAATGAATTAAGTTAATGACAAGACTGCGTTATGGTTTAGCAGTCGATATACAAAATACTAACTTAGTTTTGAGCGCAGTGTGTAAAGGCGCTCGAATTAAGTTAATGACAGGACTGCGTTATGGTTTAGCAGTCGATATACAAAATACTAACTTAGTTTTGAGCGCAGTGTGTAAAGGCGCTCTTGACTGACTATAGATAAGTACTCTTATCCATTAAGTTTATGGTATGATGAAATGTTACTCTTGGCAGAAACTCACTCCCAAAGATTGGTTCCTCGTCGACGCCCTTCAATTTCTCTTGCAGTGGGTCCCAGTTCGTCGATTTCATTGGCGACAATGCCAATTTCTTGTGCTCCATCTTCCCACTCGTCTTCATCTTCTACCTCGTCATCAACTTCAGCTTCGTCAATGATAAAACCGCCAAATCTGTCATTTTTCCGTTTTTTCTTCCCTCTTCTGTCCTCTTCCTCATCTTCGTACTCTTCATCATCTTCTTCTTCCTCTTCATCCCTTTCATCCTCTTCTTCTTCTGACTGCAATTAAAACCAAAAACAAATCAAAAGTAGTCATTATGCTATTAAACAAAGCTGAACTCTAATCAGCCCAAAAATTCTACTTCCGTTGAAATTTAAAACATGATTTCTTCTCATACCTAGCTCATCCATTTAATACAATTTTTTTTAACCTTTTAAATCTCTTTTCACTTACCTACTTCATTATATCGAGTAAAATTGTCTAGGGCCAAAAAAAATTTGTCTTCCTTAAATGTAGTTTGACTTAGAAATTTCGCAGTAAATAAAAAATGTGAAAAAACAAGGTGTAGAAAATGGTGAATGAAAGAAACATTCACAAAAAGAACCAAAGTAGGTACATACCCCACTTCCTGACCTCGATCGAGATCTGGAACGTGACCTTGACCTTGATCTTGATCGAGATCTAGACCTCGATCTAGATCTGGATCTTGATCTGGACCTTGACGGCGACCTGGATCTAGATCTTGACCTAGACACAGAACGGGACCTTGATCTGGATCCTGACTGTACCGATCTTCCAGATGCGCTTCCAGCATAACTGCCTTGATCACTTTCTACATCACTCATTTTGATCAGCCTGAAAAATCATAAATTTGAACATCAATTTGGAGAAGTAGTAAGTCTTAGGATTAAAATTAGAGAGCCTCCTGCCATTGTTGAGCTCTTAAGCCCAGTGTCTTAGAGCAAAGGACACGTTGGAAACGTTGAACACGTTGGGAAGGACAGGAGAAAGGATGGCAAGTAGGCAAGATGGCAAAGTAAGGCTGGGTGGCACGCACCAGGAAATCCCTGTAGCAAAACACCCTGTGAAGGAAAAGTCTTCCTGTACTGAGCAAATACACTCATCACGGTACATTCTTTGATTAGTGCTTCTTATTCTTTCACTTCAATTTGGTGAAATGATGGATTTTTAAGGTGATAGGGGGCCAGTCAAGTAAAACGCAAAGTGTTATGGTAAACTTTTTACTCTTACCCTTGTACGACAACCTCTTCCCTCCTTCTCTTGAATTATAGAATCCAAGTGGCATATAATATATTTAAACAGGCATTAGGTTTTTCAAACTTTTTACTTGCTTTCCAATCGTGTTACTTATCCATTCTCTTTATTTCTGAGGAGATTGGGAACGCAAGCTGCAGAAAGAGGAAATTTTAAGGACAGCATGAAGTTGAGACCTTTTGCCAAGATCAGAAAATATCCTCAGTTGTAGCAGCTATGAAATTTTTGTACCCTTGCCTTAGTGGAGTTAAAATGTTGAATCATTTGGTTCCTCACTTAAATAAATATAACTCAACAATCCAAATGACTTCTCGAGATAGTGGCGCAAAAGGGTACACTATGTTCAGAGACAAATCATATGACACATCAAACAGGGACAATGATGGTGCCTGTTGGGAAAGAGGTAATTCTGCTTTCTATCAGTCCCAAATGATCTAAAGTAGAGGTCTAAATCACCAATGAGGTTTAGAAAAGTTCCTAATCATGCGCTTCAGGGTCTGACTGGCCCAATAAGTGGAGAATTCCATAGGGCAATATGGCTCTACGACCTGGATGATTGTTCATAATACACCAAAATCTTACATGTCTTTCGCTTGTAAGGTTCGCTTCTCATAAATTGTTAGTCTTTTAACTTGAACCCTTGAAGTTATGTTAGCTCATTTAGGTCATCCCCAAAATAACAGGTTCATGGATAGCATTTCAGCGAAGCTTATTGGCTACAATAAACTAGCAAATAAATACTAAGAGGTTTGATCTGACCAACTGGAGAACTGACAATAGAAATGAATCAACAAAAATATTCACTAGGAGCTGTTGCGGAAGAGTCCCAAATACTTCCGAACCTTAAAGTACAGGTGCTGAACTAGAACGTATGAACCTGGAGCTACATATTAGGAATGAATCAAATCCCAGAATAGTATATGTAGTTAGGGTTACACAAGGTTTGAAAAATACAAAAATTGCAGAAGCGACACGACACGTCAGGACACTTGCGGTAATGACCCGTCGTGGAAGGAGTAAACCATCGGTCCCGGTTACTCCATATTATCGACTAAAAAAGGGTAAATCACTTGCCGGCGAGCTTGCAGCGGTCCTGAAATCGAAGAAGCGGCAAATTTTAAGCAGAGTAACAGGAGAAACTAATAAAAATCATGACCAGAACTTTTTGAGAGGAGGAAATAACTTACGACTTACGTGATTAGACAGGCTGAAAAAGAATAATCAAATTGTTTTGTTTACAGATACGTCACAGTTCTAGAGGCACACTGCAGCTTGAAGAATATCGTGGCAAAAGTATAAGTGCAATGCGTGTGGGCTATTCGCATATTGAACGGCTGTAGCAAGCTGTAGCTGTAAAAGATAAAATATTTTTGATTAGCGGGTTGCCTAACATCAGTATTTTACCTCGCCAAGGAGCATACATTCGTGAAGGGGTGCATCTATCTCTAGTTGGAACTATCCTTGTTGACGTTTTTTTTGATGTTTACTTTTTGCAGGCAAAGACCCCCTACGATGTGCAGGCAAGATGGCTGCGTCG